CTGGGCCTGCTGATGCTGCTGCTGTTGTTGGTGGCGCTGCTGGTCCTGCTGTGGCGGTACCGCCGGGCGGCCAAGCCCGGGGGCATGGCCCACGACGATGAGGACGCCACCGTGATGAACACCATGCTGGAGCTGTCCCTCCCGGGCAGCATCCTGGTGAGCATTGCCAATGACTTCGCCCCGCTCAACGAGGAGGCACTGGGCGCCGGGACCCAGGCGTCGGTCTACGCGGCGCGCGCCGTCGGGGCCGGCATCTCCGACCGGCTGGGCTGTCCGGGCACCGTAGCTATCAAGCAGCTGAAGGCCGCGCGCATGACCCCCACGCAAGTGACCCTCTTCCAGAACGAGGTGGCCCTGATGTGGCTGCTGCGCGACGCGCCGAACGTCGTCCGGCTGTACGGCTACAGCGAGCAGCCGCCGGCCATCGTCATGGAACGCTACCAGACGGATCTGGCCACGCTGCTGCACTCGGAGGTGCCACTGGCGCCGCATGTCCTGCTGGACATGTGCCAGCAGTGGGCCTCCGGGCTGGAGGCCATGCACGCGCAGGGGATCGCCCACCGGGACCTGAAGCCGGGCAATGTCTTTGTCAGCCAGCGCCCGGACGGCGGCTGGCGCGCGGCCCTCGGCGACCTGGGCACCTCGCGCAACCTCAACACCGACCGGTCGTCGACGCTGGTGAGCCAGGCGCCGGAGCTGAATGCCATGACGGCGCGGTACGCGGCGCCGGAGGTGCTGGCCGCCTTCCACCGGAAGCGCCCGCTCGATTGCGAGCTCTTCCTCCCGGCGGACATCTACTCCGCGGCCATCATGCTGTGGGAGTGCCTCATGCGCACGGTCCCCTGGCAGGGGAGGGACTTCGAGCAGATCAGCTCCGGGGTGCTGGCCGGCGAGCGGCCGGCCATCGCCTTTGACGGGCCGCTGGCGGACCTGCTGCCGCTGGCGTGGGACGCCAACCCGCACGCCCGGCCGCCAGCGGCCTCCCTCCGCCAGAAGGCCGCCATGGCTGCCCTGTCAACGGAAATGCCCTGAAGCTCGCCCTTGTCCTCTGCTCTCCATATTGATTCCGCCTCTCGCACAAAGACCAGATGAAACACACCCAAACGCCGGATCGGGACCTGGGAGTCGGGCAGCGCGTGGTGCGGAGTGGCGGTGCGGGTGCGCGGGCATGTGTGGGCATGTGTGGGCATGTGTGGCCACACTCGGGGGGGGGGGGGGGGGGGGGGGGGGGGGGGGGGGGGGGGGGGGGGGGGGGGGGGGGGGGGGGGGGGGGGGGGGGGGGGGGGGGCGGCTCACGAACGATGAAGATGTCGCGACATCGGCGCGACGTTGGTGTGCCTGGGGCCGAGGCGTGCAGACGCCCCGCATCGGATGTCGGCGCCACCCCGAACCGGGTCGCGGCCTGGCGGGCCGGCGCACGATGCGCCGGACTTGCGTCCTTCCACGGACTTCCCGCCGGGCCCACCCAGCCGCAGGACCCTGGGCACTGCGTGAAGGCCAGCACGCCTGTGCGCCACACGCCATCTCACATGCCAGAGAGGAGGGCAGAGAGCACGAGGCACACAGAACAACACCGAGGTGTGATGCTTCCCCGCTCTCCCGGCTGGAATGCCAGCGGCATGCAGGGTCGGGTCCGGTCACATGCTCCGGGCCGAGGGGGGCGGCCTGGCGTGTGTTTCATGCCAGGACGCATGGTGGGTCGAAAGCTGACCCCCACGTGATGCCCTCCTCGGGATGCCCGCGATCCGCCCCCCATGCCCTCTTCATCGCACAAATGACCGCCACCGCCGGGACACTTCCGCGCGTCCGGCAAGATTATTGGAACATTATTGTTTCGGGATTTATCGGCCAGACGCCCTTCGGCCAAGGGGAAAGCGGCGGCCCTTCCCCCATGAGCGCGGGCCATGCGGAGCCCCCGGGCCTTCCCCGCGCCCGACGCGCGCTCCTACGATCATCACGGGTCCCGGGATCGCGGGGGCCAGGATCGAGACTTTTTTACTCCTGGCCGGAGGGGGTTCCGGCCAAGATGCACACGAGGGGGCCCGGCATCTGGGCCCCGGATCTCCTGGCCCCGAAGACGGTCATTTTCTCTCAGGGGGCCCACCCCGGGGGCGGCCGGCGGTTTAAGTTGGGCCGCCGGCCATCGTTTTCCCTGGCCCCTTGCCTCCCTCGCTCCTCCTCCTCCTCCTCCTCCTCCTCCTCCTCCTCCTCGCCGCCTCTCTGCCCCCCTCGCCGCCTCTCTGCCCCCCTCGCCGCCTCTCTGCCCCCCTCGCCGCCTCTCTGCCCCCCTCGCCGCCTCTTTGCCTCCATCGCCGCCTCTTTGCCCAGGGATCCCAGCCCTTCCCGGCCTGGTCCCCGTACCCCGCCCTCGCGGCCTCGGACAAAGCCATGGCAGGCCGAGCTCACCTACGCCCGGCTTCCCGGTCGGTGCTGCTCCTGCTGGCGCTGCTGGCGGCCGCCATGGCGGCACTGCGTCCCGTCCTGGCCCAGGGCATCTTTTACCATGAAACCCTGCTGCCCTTCAGCTGGAACATGGGCCCGGCTGTGGATCTGCCCCTGAAGCCGAACCACCTCGTCGAGAGGGTGATCTTCAGCAACCCCATGTACCTGTGGTCCTTTCACCAGTCGGCAAACATGTATAGCACTCTGGCGGAACATCGCCTTGGACTGTACTTTAGCCATGGGCCATCCATTACCCGGGTGTTGACACCCTTTCAGTCGTCGGAGACCCCGGTGTCCCTGCGGGTCAGCTCATCCCCAAACGGGCCCATCCCCTGGGTCGAGTCCTCCGGGACACTGGCCTTCTGGTCGGATAACAATGTTTGGGTGCCACTGGTCTACAGCCCGGCGAACAGCCTGATCGGCGTGTACACCCCGTTCGCCGGGCACGCGGCCGCCTTCCTTCGCCAGCCTGATGGGCGCGTCATCTTCCACGTGGCGAGCCCGGCATGGAGTTCGACTGCCCAGGTGCTGGTTGATGTTGCCCCCCCTGGGACCGCGGCACGCATGGCCATCGGCCACACCACCGCCGCCGCGTGGTTTGACTCCTCCGTATATTTGGCCCGGTTTTCCTGGGACACCGGCATCCTGGCCGGGCAGGTTGGCATGCTGGGCTTCACCAGCCCGGTGCTGGACGTGGCCATTGGCTGCACACATGCCCCGGGCAAGGACACGCTGTTCGCGCTGCTGGCCTCCGGCTGGCTGTATGCCTGCCGGGATTATGTCCCCGGCATGGGCTGCGAGAGTGCCCATGAGTTTGTGGTCCCCGGCCTGACGGGGCCCCTGACCCAGGGGGCCCTGATCGTTCCCCAGTCGGCCGATAGGCTTTCCTGCCTGAATTGGCTTCTCCTGTACAGCGGCTCCCAGCTGCTGAGGGTCGGCTTCCGCAGTGACACAGGCCTCCTTCAGGAGGCGATCCCCGTGTACCTGCCCAATGGGGCCCCCTCGCCGAAGACCCTACACTTCGTCAAGATCCTCCACCCCCAAGGCTCCGGCATCTGGGCTTTGACCGATGGCCAGCGGGTTTTCCAGGACTCGCCTTCATTCAACTGTGCCGTCGATCGGACCATCGTGTGCGATAGATCGGAAGAGCGTCGTCCAATGGGGCCCCCTCGCCGAAGACCCTACACTTCGTCAAGATCCTCCACCCCCAAGGCTCCGGCATCTGGGCTTTGACCGATGGCCAGCGGGTTTTCCAGGACTCGCCTTCATTCAACTGTGCCGTCGATCGGACCATCGTGTGCGATGACGACATGTCGATCCGCACCACGCGTGGCTTCCTGTGTGCCCAGGGCCAGGCCCTGTCGCCGGTGGTCAGTGCAGGGCTCCTGTGCGCCGGCTGTGCCGACGGCTACGGGGTCCCGGGCAGCGGCTCCTGGACTGCAAGCAGTGCGTGCCGCCGTTCCGGCCGTTCCCCCGCCGCCCCCCTGGCCGGTTTGCCCGGCCGGGGGCTGGCCCGCCATGCCCCGACATGTTGCCCCGCGTCCTGCCGCGCGCCCCGTGGCCGGGCTCTGCC